CTGTTTACGATGTTTTTATGCTAAAAATGGAATGTTACATCAAACGTCATGTGTTGATACACCTCAACAAAATGGTAGGGTAGAACGTAAGCATCAACATTTACTTAATGTGGCTCGGGCTTTACGTTTCCAAGCTAACCTACCTTTGAGTTTTTGGGGTGAATGTGTCTTGACGGCTGCTTATGTGATCAATAGAACTCCTTCTTGTGTGTTAAATGGCAAGTCTCCGTACGAAGTTTTGTTTGGAAAATCTCCGAATTACTCTCTTATACACATTTTTGGTAGCTTGTGTTATGCTAATTATCATCCTAGAGTGAAGGATAAGTTTGGTCCTCGCTCTTGGAAATGTATATTTGTCGAATATCCATTTGGGCAAAAGGGTTGGCGGCTTTATGACTTGGAGAGGAAGGTCTATTTTGTCTCTCGTGATATTATTTTTGTGGAAAATAATTTTTCTTTTAACAACATGGATGCACCTGTGACAATTGATGGAGTTGGTATAAATGAGTTATTTCATCGCCAACCACAAATTGTTGTTGATGAGAATGATGGAGATAGTGGAGTTAGGGGGAGTTATGAGGGTCATGAGGTTAGAGAGGACGTCCATATTACTGCTCCCCTTGACCAGCAGTCTCCACGGCCTGGGTGTGGCACAAATGCATTACCCACGCCCTCTCTGTGGCCTGCCCAGCAGCAGCACACGCAAGAGCAGCAGGCTCTGCAGCACGGGTGTGGCTTCGATGCCGCAGCCACTTACCACTCCACAACCTATTTTTGAAGAACCCCTTGGTAAAGGACATCGTATATGGACTCCGTCAACTCGATTAAAAGGCTACATTACCAACACAATCCAAACCATTACTCCCGTCACTGTTACTAGTTCATCTCCTCCAAAGCGGTCCTCAGGTACGCCTTTTCCAATAGCTTATTTTGTTAACTGTGATAAATTTTCTGTGAAACATAGGCAATTTTTGGCAGCGGTGACAACTTGGGTTGAACCAAAATCCTACTCTGAAGCAGTCAAGCACCCAGGATAGCGTAATGCCATGAAAGACGAACTTGACGCTCTCGAACGACAAGGCACGTGGACATTGGAATCTTTACCTCCGGGAAAGGTCACTCTTGGTAGTATGTGGGTATACAAGGCTAAGCTCAAGCAGGACGGGTCTCTAGAACGACTGAAGGGGAGACTTGTTGTCTTTGGCAATAGACAATTGTCTGGTATTAATTTTAATGAAACATTTGCACCAGTCGCAAAAATGGTGACTGTCTGCATGTTTTTAGCCGTTGCTATTGCTCGAAATTGGGAACTTCATCAAATGGACGTGCACAATGCATTTCTTCATGGAGACTTGGAGGAAGAGGTCTATATGAAGCTTCCCCCTGGCTATGCACCATCGGGTTCGGCGGGTAAGGTCTGTCGTCTTCGAAAAGCTTTGTATGGTCTTAGGCAAGCACCTCGGCAATGGTTTGCCAAATTATCTTCCGCTCTGAAGTTGTTTGGTTTTAAACAGTCCACTGCAGATTACTCATTGTTTTGCTATACTAAGGGGGATGTGTCATTATATGTTCTTGTATATGTGGACGATCTACTCATTGCATGTTCAGGTCATGATGCGGTGCTAAAATTTAAGGCCTATCTGCGTGATTGTTTTCATATGAAGGATCTTGGGGTCCTTAAGTACTTTCTTGGAATTGAGGTGGCTCGAGGTCCCGATGGCTTGTTTTTGAGTCAAAGAAAGTATGTCTTGGATATCATAAGTGAGGCCGGCTTATTAGGGTCCAAGCCTATCTCTACTCCAATGGAGCAAAATCATCAATTAGCTCGTGTTAAGGGGGAGTTGTTTTCAGAACCTGAAAAGTATAGGCAACTTGTAGGGCGGTTGGTCTACTTGACGATTACTCGACCTGAGCTCTCCTATTCGGTTCATGTATTGGCTCAATTTATGTCTTCTCCTATGATCGACCATTGGGAGGCAGCTCTTTGCGTTCTTCGATATCTTAAAGGGTGCCCCGGCCAAGGAATTTTGCTACATCGTCAGTGCAACTTGCAGATATATGGTTTTTGTGATAGTGATTGGGCTAGTTGTCCTATTACGCGACGATTTTTAACCGGTTATTTTGTGCTTCTTGGGTCTTCTCCGGTATCTTGGAAGACAAAGAAGCAACCCATAGTTTCACACTCTTCCGCTGAGGCAGAATATCGTTCCATGGCTACGACTACTTGCGAGTTAAAATGGTTGAAGTCTATTTTATTTTGTCTTGGTGTACGACATGATCGACCTATGCGCCTGTATTGTGATAGTCAGGCGGCTTTACATATTGCAGCAAATCCAGTATTCCATGAACGTACGAAGCACATTGAGGTGGATTGTCATTTTGTTCGAGATGAGCTTAAGGCTGGTAATATTGCTACGTCATACATACGAACGGGTGATCAATTGGCGGATATCTTTACAAAGGCCCTTGGAAAATCATAGTTTTTGGTACTTCTTCGCAAGTTAGGCATTCGAGATCTTCATGCTCCAACTTGAGGGGGAGTATTAGGCATATTATTCATAAATATCTTGTTGCATATATTTAGGAATATATAGCTGTATAGTTTCCGGTTTTGTAGCTTAGTTTCCTAACTAATCTTAGTTTCCGGTTTTGTAGATTAGTTTCCTAACTAATCTTAGCTAGCATTAACCTAGTTTTGTATATATATTGGCAGCAGCCGCAAGGCATAACAGAACGAAATACAGAAGAGAATTCCTCTCCTTTCTCTATTCTTAAATCTAGCATATAACTAGATTTAAGATAATGTGTGAGAGGAGAGGAATCTGTAGTCTTTGTCCATTCAAACAATTACAAGATTAGAAGAGGGTTTCAGAGTCTTCCGTACAAAAAATTGTAAGGACTAAATTTTTTTGGAGATAATATGTGAGAGAAAGTTTTTGGAGATAATATGAGAGGTTGATATACATGATGCTGAGAGATTGAGAGATGATAGACAACTGATTCCTTTTGTAATTTTCCTCTACATAGTGAATTTCTTATGGATGTAAGTTGAAGTTGGTCGACCGAACTACATAAATCTTTTCGGTTGTGAGTGTTTTCTATCTTATGAATTGTGGATTGGTTTCCTAGTTATGGAGAACGCAGTAGGTAGGACTAAAATTTCCAACAGATCCTCATAAGGGTTCTTGGATTCCCTCTAGTTAACTTACGATTTGAAAAGAGTATTCCGTCAAATTTAACTTGTTTCCCTGAAGTTCCATTGGTACCCCTCAGTTTTGTTTAACCACCCTACTCTTTAACTGTTTTAAACTCATAACCACCAAACAAAAAACTCAAACCACATCCTTCATCTACTCTCGATAGTTAAAAAATTGCCTTAACCCGTTTTTCTCATCTGTCAATTGATCATGTTAAAGAATACAACCACGTTTTACAAATTTACCTAAAAACTAACAGATGAACCAATTTGCAGTAACTCTTATGAATTTAGGGACCTATCAGCAATTCAACAATTTGACGGACTAGCATCAAATTACGGAAGGAATTGAGGGAATCTAAAAAAGAACTTATTTTTTGTTGAACTTTAAACTAAATTAAGTATCATTATATCACAATGCCAAACTAACGATATTAACAAGTAGTTGTTTATTTTTACATTCTTTCTTTGAGCAGTTGAATTTTTGTTGTTACTTTTTCCCTTCCTGCCTCATGAAGCATTTAGGTGGATCTTTAAGAACCAATCGAATTGTAGCTGGAAACCTCCTACACATAACATTTGCATTGTGGTAGTAAAAGCGCATAGGAACTCGATATTACAAAAAAATATGGTATAGCTGTATTTTGTATTAAATTATAGAAAATACGTCCAAGATATCCGTCTATAATGTTTTAAATTTAAAATTACCGTCTGTATATTAATATTTGTTTGCATTGTAGCAATGCGTAAAAAAATAAATAAAAATTAAAAATTAAAAATTAAAACATTAAAAAAATTGAAACAATATAGGCGTGCATTGTTCCTTTTACACTAGCGTGCCTTTATATTGCAGAGAAAGAGAAATTGTACCCCGGAAGGACCGACTCCTGAAAATAAGGCAAAAGGAAGAATGGATCAGTAACCAATAGCTGAATAGAATTTGATTAAGATGCATTCCTCCATTAGGTATCCCAATGAATATATTGTGGTCCAATGAAAAAGGTTATAATATGCCATATCACTCTCTCGAGTAGGTACAGTCCTTTGCAAAATCCCAGGACGAGAACTCCGAGGACGAGTATGCGGACGTGGATACCGGCAGAGGGGACTTCGATACTGGTTTGTCCTATCTCTTTTAATTTTCATTTTCCATAAATGACAGCTCTTTTTCATTGAAATGGCTATTGTCATTTTAGGTAGGACAGCCGGTGATCATGAGCCCTCAGCTCCTACACACGTTGAAACGTGTGATAGGCCTGCGCATGTTCGACCCTATGGTCCTCGGAGGGTTGGTGCCCCGAAGAGGAAGAAGACTGCCCATAAGTCCCATGACGGTCAGCGTCCCTGTGGAGTGGACTTAGGGAGCACCGCCGATGGAGGGGGAGGTAACATTCAATTGCTCTTGCTTCAAGGTTGTTTACCTTTTGGGGATTTGTGACCATGTTTTGTGCTTCAGGTTTCTTCGAGGAGGGCGAACTCCCACCGGGTTCGGCGTCCCCTGGCGTTGACAACATGGATTGCTTTGTGCAACAAATGTGCGACGCTTTTCACGATGGGTCTTTGGGCATCGACCTTAACATCGATCTTGAGCAGATAAATAATGTTGAGCCCACAATCCCTTATTCAGGTATATCCGCATCCAATGTCATTTTCCTTATGTAAGGTGAAGGAAGATTTCTCGTTTGAGCTTTCCTCATCCTTCAACATTTGGGTTACCCTGCAGATGTTGCGATGGAGGGGCCAAGCTTCTCGAAGCCGGATGCCGGCTTATTAGCTGACATGCTGGCTGAGCAGACTTCCAGAGGGACCGAGAGACCATTCTTCGGGAACGATTCATCTACCGGTATATATCTGATTTTCTCCCTCTTGCCCGATATTTCATATGACTAATGAATGATTGATTATCGCAGCGTCTACCATTGGAGTTAGCCCGGTATCTATCCCTGGCATATCCAGTTTGCCTCAGAGCGACGGGCTTGCAGGTATGTATACGATTCAGGGATATTGTACTTTCCTATGTTTATCTGTCTTTTGACTGATGAGTGCAATCATAGGACCAGCCGCTAGGACTGATTCTCATATGACTCCTGGCATCCCTCAAATGCCCGCGGATAATGGATCTACAGGTATGCAGATCCCAATTCTTCTTATTCGTCTAAATTTTCATTTTGACTAATAAGAGAGTGTTATCATAGGACCAGCCGCTTGGGCCGATACCTTTATGACTCTTGGCATTCCGGCTGCATCTGAGGACATGGGGATTGCAGGTATTCATACGACCTTCTTATCCCGATTCTCCTTATTTGTCCAAATTTCCATTTGGTTAACATAGGAATGTCACTGTAGGACCAGGCGTTGAGCCTGATACAACTACAGTTCCTGGGGCTGAAAATCTTCATGGCAGTGGTGCCTCCCCGCCTTTGCCGAGTGGTGTGAGCACTCCGCCTGCAGGGGCTGATGTACCTTCTTCTGCTGCTATCCCAGAGCCTGTCGGACCTCAACCCGAGGGGACGTCTGTTGGTGTCGGTATGTTCAGAACTTGCCTTTTGACTTTCCTTTCCACATTCAATAGTTCACTGAGCTTCCAAGTTGTTGCTTGTAGGATCTCGCTCTTCCTTGCACGAGCGTGTCCGTAGCCTTTTGGCCAACTACGGATCCTGCCGAGATATACGACGACCTACCTGATGAAACTCACGAAGTCAACGCAACTTCGCACCAACAAGTGTGGCGTTTGTACTTCGATGGCGCCTCTCGAGCAGCTCTTGTCACAGATAGCCTTTTTACAACTTGTTTGCGGAAAAAGTTGTAAAAAGTTGTAATGATTGGGTTCCCACTGTGGTCGCCAGCTTGTTTGCGGAAAAAGTCGCTGTATTCATTGCTGCATTCATTACAACTTTGATCGTTACAATGAAATAAAAAGATAGCCTTTTTATAAGACCGGTACACAATGAAAACAAAATAAATGCAACTCCTTTCAAACAAACGCAAGAGCTGTTTGTCATCTCTTGCTTGCGTGGGTCTTTGGCCTGTGACGGGGACGTTGATATCCGTGGACCACCGGGGCAATCAGATCTGTTCCGAGAAAATCGGGCAGAGCTTCGTCTATCCGCGGAGGGATATAGAAGCAGAACTTCGTCGATCCGCGTGGGATCTTAGAAGCTATAAGCGTATACCTCGGCTAAAGCGAGGTATTAGCTCTTCTTAGTATTAACGCTAAGGCTAATACTAAGGATCGAACGGGTGATGAAGGCTCTGATCAAGACCTCTCCTCCTCTTGTTGAAGCACGCGAGCACTCTCCACTGCAGCAGGGCTTCGCCAAGGCTCTCCAAAAATCCTCCCCTCCTCTCTCTAGCCTTGCTCCAAGACAAAAGAAATCCAGCCCTTTGAATGAGGACCTAAGGGGGCTATTTATAGGCTTTTTGAGGTGTAGGGGGTAGGTAAGGGGTGCGGACACCCCTTGGTGTCTCGGCCATGGCCGAGACACCCTGGCCTAGACACCCCCTGGTGTCTCGGCCAGGCCGAGACACCCTTGGGGTGTCTCGGTTTGGCCGAGACACCCCTGGGGTGTCTAGGCTTTTCCTAGACACCCCCGGGGTATTTCGGCGTGCCGGGACTCCGTTTGAGGTGTTTTCGATTGTTTCCCCGTAGATTCTTCGTCCGAACTCGGATTTGAGTGATTCCGGGTGCGTTGGATGCTTGACGAAGAATTCGATCCGCTCTGGTGATTGGATTATCTGTAGAGTGGTCGAGGCGCGAGGGGCGTTGTCCTTTTTGTGAACAGTGTCGGGTTCCCTGATTGGTCCGGGTCTTGGTTGTTCCGAAACCCTATCAGCTTACGTAGCTCGTCGATTCGCTTCAGTCGTTCGTCGACGTCAATTAGATTCATGTGGCTCGGGTAGTGACGTTCATCGTCGTTCTTTAACACTGAACCGTTCGTGGAGACCTATAGGCAATTTTCGATGCCTACAGATACCCCCTCCAAAGTGTTCCTGACTCGTTTATTTTATAGAAGAGACTGGAATACTTTGGATGTGATTGGTCTAGCCTTCAGTCGGCATCAGGTCCTGTAGTTAGCTTCAACTCTTGGCTCCTTCGATTTTCGGTCTATTCGATGCTTTGACGAATATCCGAAGTTCTTCCAGCGCTGTGTTTATCGCTTGGCCGTCGTCGGAGTCTCGAGTGTGCAGCTGATGAATTGAGTTTGGCTCGTGTCATTGAGTTGACTTTGAATTACCTCCGCCACATTGTGCTGGCTTAGGGTTTCGGATCCCCGTGTGTTGACTTTTTTTTGTTGGGTGCTCAAGTCACGAGACCAACTAGGGGAGTTGATGCGTCAATGACTCGCAGTTATAGAATTTTTGGCAAATCCTCAGCCATCAACGGATTTGATTAGCCTTTACCGACTACCGTTTGAGTCGGGCTAGCATGCGGATTGTTTAAGTCCGTTCCGCATGTGACGTTGTGCTAAGAGAGTTAACGCTCTTAGTGCTACGATATTGAATACGTAGACTTCGTCTTTCTCACGGGAATAGACTACCCGGCGACGCGTGTTAGGCGTTGACTTTAGGATTTTTGGCTAATCCCCAGCCTTCAACGGATTTGATTAGCCTTTACCGACTACCGTTTGAGTCGGGCTAGCATGCGGATTGTTTAAGTCCGTTCCGCATGTGACGTTGTGCTAAGAGAGTTAACGCTCTTAGTGCTACGATATTGAATACGTAGACTTCGTCTTTCTCACGGGAATAGACTACCCGGCGACGCGTGTTAGGCGTTGACTTTAGGATTTTTGGCTAATCCCCAGCCTTCAACGGATTTGATTAGCCTTTACCGACTACCGTTTGAGTCGGGCTAGCATGCGGATTGTTTAAGTCCGCTCCTATGTGACGTTTAAGCTAAAAGAGTTAACCCTTTTAGTGCTACGATATTGAATACGTAGACTTCGTCTTTCTCACGGGAATAGACTACCCGGCAACGCGTGTTAGGCGCTGACTTATCCTTACTTAGGATTCAGGATAAAATTCCCCGTGCGTGTGAGGCACGGATTATGGTGTTATTAATAACAACCTGCCACAATGTTGAATATGTGGTCTTTTGTCCTTTTTACGGTCAAAGACTAACCGGCCATGTGTGTTAGACATAGGCTTTGGGATTTTTGGCAAACCCCCAGCCATCAACGGGTTTGATGTGCCTTTACCGATTACCGTTTGAATCGGGCTAGCATGTGAATTATTAAAACCCGTTTCACATGTAACGTTGTGCTAAGAGAATTAATTCCCTTAGACTTTGTGCTATGATGTTGAGTACATAGGCTTTGCTATTGTTACGGGAATAGGCTACCCGGCAACGCGTGTTAGGCGTTGACTCATCCCTACTCAGGCTTCGGGATAAAATTCCCCGTGCATCGAGTGCCCGGATTTGACAATCGTGTCTTTTCTAAAAGCAAAGACAGATTGAGAAACGGGAGAGGAAGAATTTTATATTCTATCTCCCGGTGCTGAAGAGGAAGAATTTTATATTCTATCTACAGCTGGAAAGGGAACTTGAGGTGGGATCCCCCACCCCCAGAATCCGGAATGATGAACTGGGAGTGGGTTCTCCACTCCGAGCATCGGAAAGGTCCGAGGAGAGGAAGAATTTTATATTCTATCTCCCGGTGCTGAAGAGGAAGAATTTTATATTCTATCTACAGCTGGAAAGGAAACTCGAGGTGGTATCTCCACCCCCAGAATCCGGAAGGATGAAACTAAGAGTGGGATCTCCACTCCGAGAATCGTAACAATTCGGATAACCCTAACTGTCGGAAGGTTTGATTACCCGATTTGGAAGTGGACCTCTCGTTCATTGGGGGAATCGAGAGGAGATTTTGGCTGTGGCCCTAACTGTATGAATGTTTGACCAAGCAGGAGTTTGAGACGACCTAACTGTCGGAAGGTTTGATCGCTCGATTTGAAGGTGGACCTCTCGTTCATTGGAGGAATCGAGAGGGGATTTTGGCTTTGGCCCTAACTTTTATAGGTTTGACCAGAACGCAAAGAGAGTGGAATACGGGTAGCAAAGAAAGTGCCAACCCATATTACCACTCAAAGGGAGACTTTAATGTTAGGCGTTTAGGACCTAGCACGTTGAGTCTGAGAAACGCCAATGACTGGCAGATGGGAATGTTGGTGGGTCCACTGTCGTTTGATTTGATCAGCGGATGGTTTGGTGAGGAAAGATTAACCGATCAGAAGATTGGATCTCTTCTCACAAAAATAACTCATAAGAGTTAGAGAATAAGAAGAGACATTCTGACCTTCAGAGTTCGAACGTGAATTTCTTATTCACCAATTCCACAATGATTGGGTTATCCCTAAGAATACCCATGTGGTATTCTTTCGGGAACTTCCCGATGCATTGGATAATCCACCCCCAGTTTCTCTCTTGGAACTGGGTTTGACTTGGTTGTCCGACCGGGTTATCCTTAAGAATATTAGCGTAATATCCTCCAGGAACTTCCCGTCAATGGTAGGAAATAGTTTAGACTCATATACCTATTGGAGTATCAGGGAGCAGTTTAACCTCTTATACCGGTAGGAGGAATGAGAAACAGTTTATACTCGTATACTCTTTGGAGTGAGAAGCAGTTTATACTCTTATACTTATAGGAGTATCGAGAAACAGTTTATACTCTTGTACTCTTTGGAGTATTGAGGAACAGTTTATACTCTTGTACTCTTTGGAGTATTGAGGAACAGTTTATACTCTTGTACTCTTTGGAGTATTGAGGAACAGTTTATACTCTTGTACTCTTTGGAGTATTGAGGAACAGTTTATACTCTTGTACTCTTTGGAGTATTGAGGAACAGTTTATACTCTTGTACTCTTTGGAGTATTGAGGAACAGTTTATACTCTTGTACTCTTTGGAGTATTGAGGAACAGTTTATACTCTTGTACTCTTTGGAGTATTGAGGAACAGTTTATACTCTTGTACTCTTTGGAGTATTGAGGAACAGTTTATACTCTTGTACTCTTTGGAGTATTGAGGAACAGTTTATACTCTTGTACTCTTTGGAGTATTGAGGAACAGTTTATACTCTTGTACTCTTTGGAGTATTGAGGAACAGTTTATACTCTTGTACT